AGGAAATGCCACTTTGACTACTTGGAAGACAGGCAAGATATAAATCTTACCAACGAATAAAATAAGTTATATAAGTCAGTTAATAAGCAGCATTAGAAGAAGTGTTCTGTTTTTGCTTGAATGAAATGAAGTTCTTTTTGAATGAGAATATGTAAAAAGTTGTTTCTTACAGAGCTACATGTACAAAAAACCCTGTTTCTGTGCTAAATTATAGGAAAGAATATTTGGCTTGTCAAAATCCCCCCTCCCATTTTTTAAATAAAATTTTGTTCTTTTTACCCTCTTTTGGCTCTCTTGGCTCTTTTTACAGCCAACTCTTATCCACCTTGCTAAATTCTCTCTGCTTTGTGGCTGCCTACTTGCATTCATTATCCACGTCTTAATTTCTTCCTTGAACTTTTTTTTACAACTAATGAAAGATTCATTTGCACTTTGGTTCTTTCTTGTAAAAACATATTATTGAATCGCAAAGTATCCATAAGGTGGATAGGCTTGTATTGACTGGAGAGACAAAGAAACATTTGGGTACTTGACTAAGCAAGTATTCCATTTTTTTTTCTGGTTTGTTATAGTCTGTTCCCATTCTTCGCTGCAATTTTATTGTCCCTTCTTATAGCAATAGCCACCTTTTCAAAATCACTGAGCATATCCTATTTTCATGTAGAAACTTAGACGTATCCTCCTCCAACTCTTTTGAGTACTTCTGTAAATGCTGTTTTCCCAAGCCTGCTATTATTACTTTTCTTTGTGAATATATATTTTTTTGGCTGAATAAGAAAAATTCTCATTGGACTCAATTAGCTATTTAGCATATTTACCTCATACCTTGTACTTGGGTTTGGCAGAATGTTAGTTTTTCTTCAAACAAAGTTCATGGCTTTTCAGTAACATAAATATGCTTTTTAGTAGTTTTATTGGCCAAACATAACATTTTTGAGACTATACAGATTTCCTTTTTTTTCCTTTTTAAAGAGATTGTGTCACTTCTCATGTCTTCTGAATCATAAATGTAGATGTGTTTCTGCAAGTAGATTAAATTCTCTTTGCATAACAGTAACAGAAACATATATTTATTTTTTCCTCTTTTATGCACATATCAAACTGATTTCTAGATGCAATAATTTATCTTTTAGGATCCAGAAATACTAAAAAAAATAAGTATTTAATGCTAATGATTAACATAAAATTTGTATTTCTCCCATTCTCTTACAGAGTATTGATAACAAGGATTTCAGATAAGCCTGCTGTTAAACGACATACTATACTTTTGTCATTCCCTTCAATTTCAAAAACAGAGTAAGTTAGGGTAATATTAAAACAAGTGGAGATAATGCAGCATCAATACTTGAAGGAACTGGAATTACCACTAGTATTTCACTGGGAAAATTAGAAGTGGACACAGAAAGCCAGTTCATGAAGAGAAAGAGAAATTTGTCTTATATATGTATATATAAAACTCACCAAATTAATCCACCAGTTGGTCAGTATGATGGAAAACATGACATTTAAAAAAAAAAAAAATTGCTAGAGACTGAAGACATGATTAAATTTAAAAGATGCAATAAAAAGTCATGGTTTGATATTTTAGGGGCTGCACTGAGCATTTCCAAAATATGAAAGATCTGCTTGAGAGAGAAAGAGAGAGAGAGAGAGAGAGAGAGAGCGCAGGTGGCAATCTAAACATTTTTATATTCTATCCTAAAAATATGCAGAATAAGTAGTGTCTTCCAACTGATACTTTCAATGGTACATACAGAATTCACCCAGAAAACAATCTAGAATGATAGATATAAAGCTGAGGGGTGTGATTATTTCCATTCACTGTGAGAAACTAATAAGAAGTGAAGAAAAATAGATCCAAGTTGACAATTTTGAAAAAGAAATAACTCATTTGTTTATTCCACTGATGGATTTTCTATTTTCTCTTGTGTGTAAAGCTGTTAGATTAAGAATGTCATTCATTTTTCTGTTGTGGAAGTGTAATATTATTTTAGGTATAGTCTTGGAATCAGCAAAACTGATAAAATATTTATTAGATTCCAGATGATTGAAATCCTAAGATCTTCTCCATTGGTAACTGCAAAAACAAACCCAAATGCATCACAGTATTTATTACATTCTAAGATTATTTATTCTGGACACAAAACATGTTACGGAAAATAAATTACAGTTGGACAAAAGAGAGAGAGAGAGAGAGAGAGAGAGAGAGAGAGAGAGAGAGAGTGAGTTCTATAACTTTAAGGACTGTATTAATATTACTTATGTTGCAGAAGAGTCCACTTTGATGAACGAACTGATTATGCCTATCTCATTGAAAGATTTTCAATATTCATTAGTTACAATTAACCTTTTCTTCTTCCCACCTGTACCTATACATGTATATAAACAATGTTGAAGTGGAAATGTGCCACATCAACTACTTCTTTTCATCTTCCATTTTAGAAAGACCTCAGTTGTTGTAATTCATTGTTGAGCTGTCACAATATTTCATTTTTTCTTCCTTCTTTGAGTTCGTTCCTCCTCCATCATTCTGCCCTTATGTTAGAACTGCATACACAAATTTACTTTTTTGAGTGACTTCAAGTTAGTGTTGATTCTTGGCAACTGCCTGGACTAATTATTGCAATTTTCTTGGCAAGCTTTTCAGTAGTTTTCCTACTGCACACAAAGGGCAGTGAGCACGCAGGGGCTGACGGTTTCTGGCTGCAGCTGCCCCACCCCTGCCTTGCCTCACTTCATCCCGCAGGATGACCCTCCCACCCACCGCCCCATCTGCCAGAGACCCCTGGATTCACTCCCCAACCCTGCCCAACCCCCACAGGTGCCGCCCCCCCATGCGTGCGACACCCAGTCAGCCGTGCCCACCCTGGCCATGCCCCTCCCTGCAGTCCCTGGAGGACAACCACAATGCTGATCTGTCCCTCAATGAAATCAAGTTTGACATCCCTGTTCTGGACTATAAAAAGACAGCAATATTATTCTCTATCTCCTTGTTGCCATTTAGTGGTTGTCTGGATTTTTGCTGCTGAGATCTGATAGCTCAGGTTGTAGCCTTTCAGAGTCACCTCAGGTCATATGTAACAATATATTCTTCCTTACACATTTTCTCCTAGTCCTGTAGATAAAGGCTAACTTACATCATTTCTCTGCATTCTTTTTTCTCCAGCTGTAGGGGAAAACAGAAGAACTTTGAGTCAAATTTCATAAAGCCTCAAAATCAGTTTGACATCCAGTGAATCAGGATGAAACCTTAGTAAATGAATCTGGGATTTAATTCAGAGAACAATATTTAGATTAGAACTCAGTGGTGCATGAGTATCTGTTCCTTTGCTTTATCCTAAATAGATAGTTATGATTTGTTAGACTATAGTTATGACCGATTAGATATGATTAGAAGCAAAATGTAAAAAATACATTTATTTGTGGTGAAATTTTTTCCTCTACTCATAATGGGATGATCTGGCTTTCATTGTTTTTATCTCCACTATTTTTCTGTGCCTAAAAGAGAGGAGATGTATTACAGCATCACACAAGTTTTCATGCATTAACTGTCATTATGAATAGTATATGTTGAATTAATAATGTGCTTTTGTATTTTTTTATTAATCTGTTAATTAAAATGGCAAAATAGTGAGTTAATTGATCACAGAAAAGCTAAACTAATTGGGCCCATCATTTCTCCCATGTCAATGACTTAGACCTCTGCTCTCTCTTTCTTCTTTAAGTAGCATGCTTGATTCCTCATGGCTGCTGAAATATTCTTGCAGGAGCTGAACACTGCAGCATAGGTAGACAGGTGCCAAGAGTCAAGAAAAGGCAAATAGCTCAAGATATTTGAATAAATGAAGCCTTATAGTAAACCATTCTGAAATTTCTAGGAAATTTTGCTACTTTGCTACTTTGCCCTGAATTCTGCAAAAAGCCCATACTCTGTGGATGTTTTATTAATACTGGGCTGGAATCTGTCTCCTAGTTTCCTCCGCAAAGTCCTCTGTTCTGCTAGCTTCTCAGAATAATTTCAGTATACATTTGAATTTTTTATGATATTTTGGAGCTCATTTCATTTGTGTGTTATTTTTTGGATTACACATTGCCCCAACATTTGGCAGCCTCACTATCCTGCTTCCTAATCCCAGAAGCCACATGAGACAGGTTCCTTTCAGAAGGATCCTTTGGGATCTAATTGAAGTGTATATAAGGGCTGAGGACTGTTGGAAAGGTGATTGAAAAGGTGAAAGAAAAGATACTCATATACTCTCAGTCATCTTGAAAATGAAAACTTCACTGCAATTTCACTGCAAACCTCACTCTTCAATGTACTGATGTTGTAACCAAGCTTGCTAATAAAACTTCTACAAGAAAAGCTTGAGCTGAGCAGCTCAGAGAACACAAAGAACCCAATAGTGTAGAGTCAAGTGTGCTACCTAGTTTCTATTCAATATGCATTAAATCAATATTTGGATAGTGAGATGAGAGGCACAGAAATTTAATAAACAACCAACCAATCAAAAAGAATGCATATATATTTTTGTCCAGGTTGCAAATTAATGATGTGATGTACACAGGGGTGAAATCCAAAATTTTTTACTAACGGTTCTGTGGGTGTGGCTTGGTGGGTGTGATGTGGCTTGGTGGGTATGGCAGGGAAAGGATACTGCAAAATCTCCATTCCCACCTCACTCCAGGGGAAGGATACTACAAAATCCCCATTCCCTCCCCACTCCTAGGGGAAGGATATTGCAAAATCTCCATTCCTATCCCACTCTGGGGCCAGCCAGAGGTGGTATTTGCCAGTTCTCCAAACTACTCAAAATTTCCGCTACCAGTTCTCTGAACTGCTCAAAATTGGTTCTCTAGAACCTGTCAGAACCTGCTGGATTTCACCCCTGGATGTACAGTAATTTACAGTACATACAACTTTTGAAAATATGTTCAATATGCAGTCACAAAAATAAGTCTTGTGACACCATAAAGACTAAAAACATTTCTCATGTCATAGGTTTTCAGGGTCCATAATCCAGTTTATCAGGTGCATGAATTATTATCCTGAGTATATATATATATACATTTCACTCTTTATTTGTAGAGTAGAGATGGATGGAATACTGAGGAACACGGTCCAAGGAAATAAAAATAGGAAGTAGAGATAGTGGTAATTACAGCCTTGAAACCAACCATTTCCAGAACAGATATTCTTGCTTGGATGAATCATATGTAGTTTGATATGAACTTTGTCTTTGTCCATAGCAGATATAGCTGTACCTTTTGATGAATTCTTACTCAGTTTCACACCTGCCATCTGTTTTGTGACTGATCAGTGTCAAGGAGATATTTTGTACTATTGCTAAGGTCACAGAAATGACAGGTTGGCTTTGAGAAGCATGGTATTTATATGTCTTTGATCCTTAAAGCCAAAACATTTGTTCTTAGGAACTCACAGTGGCAGCAATGTGCTAGGTAGATAGGGTAACCTCAAAGAAGTTGAAAATGAAGATTGGACGGAAACAGATACAAGAAAAGTGACTTTATGAACTTGTTCTTTTCTTCATTCTTGTATTCTTTTGTTCTATTCTACAAAAAAAGGCAAAGAGAGCATAGTAAACAACACATAATCATGAATCAAATAAGGTATGTTTTGAACTGCAAGACAGAACCGCCTAACTAAGACAAAATACTTCTTTCCTGCCTTGGAGCCTCTTCCTTGGAGAGTCCATTCTAAAAGCATATTTGTGGTAGGTAAAAATGAAGAAACAATACAAATAAAAAAAATAATAATTTACTATAAATTAATAAATCATTTCATTTTTGCTTTTTATGGAATAAAAGAAAACATCTTCTCAACGTTTGTCATGTCATAGTGAATTTTCTGTTATTTGCCTTCGTTTGCACCTATTTTTGCTTCCCCTTGACACTGATATTGATACCACAGCCTGTTTCTTTGCTGAATTAAACAGTTGAAATATAGCTAGAATTATGTTTGTTGAATGAACAATGCAGAGAGACAAAGAAAGCAGAAAAAAAATCCCCAATTTTATTGACTCCATTTGAGATGGGATCAAATATCACAAGTTGATAATGTAGCGTATCAATGCTTATTCATTTCTGTTGTCAGTAACCTGACATTCCAAACTTGGCAAATAATTTATTGAAATCATTATTGATGCACACCTAAAAAAAAGTACCAGGATACTGTGAGCGTATCTTCTATTTTAAAGGTTAAAACTGAATGAAATACCTTGTTTTTTATCACTGTTCTTAAAGGTTTCTAATAGTCTGAATGACCTTAAAGTGTTTGAATTTCCAATTACCTTTTCATTTTTGAGGATGAGACAGGTTCTGTCATATAAAGGATATACAGTATATAAGGGAAAAGAGTAAAGAACAATGGGAAGAAAAAAAGTGAATAGTCAATTGTCTTTTTGGCTAAAGTGGATAATACAACTGCGTATATCAGTGAGACTATTTTCATTAGATTCAAAATCCTTTGTCTTTCTTAACTGACAAGCTGCTTAACTGGAATATAATCAAGGAAGCAAGGTTCACATAGACTGCCTGTATGTCCAGGCATAAGAATTTCATAACTGACTATTCTTAATGTCAGAAAACTGAAAAAGGCCTTTGCCACTGAGCTAACAATTTGCTTGCAGTAGAAGGTAGGAGCAGTAACATTTTCTGTCCTGACTGAAATACTTGCAGTGTAGAATGCTGGTGATAATATGATTTTTGGTGCACTTGGGATTGGTAAAGGTTCTCTGAAGCCAGCTCCCTCATCTGGTCTGGCTTGTCCCTCCTTTAAAAGTTTCTTTAACCATCTGGAGAAGTTCCCTGACTTTTTGGCCATATAACAATTCAGAAGGCAAGAATCCTGTGCCTGAGGGACCTTCTGATAAGCAAACAACAGGAATGGGAGCCACATGTTCCAGTCAGAATATGTCTCTAAAGCATATTTCTTCAGCATTTGCTTAAGGGTTTGGTTAAATCATTTCACCAGACCATCAGTCTGGGGATGATAAGGGGAAGGGGAAGTTTTGATCCCCTTAATTCCTGTGTAATCCTGTGTAATTACAAAGTGTAATCAGTTTTTTTGACATTTGTTGCTTACAGGCAAGATTCTTTGTGTAATTTTTGAGAATTAGTTTAGTTCATGGCAATGATTCTTATTTCTGTCTTGAACTTTGAGTACCAAACACACATTGATGGAAAATGCAAGAAGCTGAACAATCTATAGTCTAGTGTTGATTGAGAACACATTTCACAAACTATTGAACATACTATTACCTACTTATATTGTACATTCCCTGAATTTTACTGATCTTTTCAGTAAAAGATCAGAATTATTTCCCATGCCAGGAAAGCTAGGCCAAACTAGATTTGATCAATCTGTTTCCAAATAAGTGGCCTGCCCCAAAGGCTTTGTACCTTCAGTGTTCAAAATTACTTTTCAGAGAAAGGACTTGGCAGCTTCTTGTGAGTCAGCTGGCTAAACTATTTATCCCCGATTTTAATAAAATAAAAGTATCTGCCCTTTCTGAATCATTAAATAACAGTTCCAATCCAGCAAGCAAGTGGCAGATACCAGAATACCAATTTCTATTATCTATCTATCTATCTATCTATCTATCTATCTATCTATCTATCTATCTATCTATCCACCCATACACATACACACATTTTTCCCAGTATCCTCTGCTTAACAGTTTACTAGCTGACTGTTAGCCATATCACAACTACAGTATTGTAATTGACTGACTGTTCTATTATGATCAGCTTGTTTGTAGTTCACAACCATATTAACCATAATGAGTGGTTTTAGGTTCGCCACCTCATGTAAAACATCTTGGCCTGTTTCTTTTAGTCCTTAAGGGACCATGTCAGAAAGAACATATGCTTAAAGTGCCAGAATAATGGGATGGGGGGGGGCAGTTAAATGGAAGTGATTATGCACACTGTAGGATTATTTGAAAGAGGACTTTTGTGGATTCTTGTATTGGCAAAAAGGCATATCTATATTAATGGTTGTGAAGGTTGGTTGATGTAGGTTAGAAACATCATAATTTGTATTATATAGTGTGGTGCTCCAGTTTAGAAAAGATCCTCTTCATTTCAGAAAAACGGTTGTTTTGGCAAGAAAACTGCTAACTACTTTAATACCTTTAATATTTCAGATCAACTGAAACAGTGCTTGTTTGTCACGGCCGGATTTAGATGAAAAGAGGCCCTAGGCTATTCCACTTATGAGGCCCTTTCACCTATAGTGAAAGTGTAATTTTAATTTTGCTAACAATTTGAATGTAGGCCCCTCTTGATCTTGAGGCCCCCTCTTGATCTTGAGGCCCTAGGCTGAAGCCTAGTTAGCCTATAGGAAAATCCGGCCCTGTTGTTTGTATAAGGCATTTTATTTCCACATTTGATTGATAGTGAGGGGTTTGGTTGAAGAATCAGGAGGCCCATGAAGAGGCACCAGGAAATGTAAAGATAGAGTTTAAAGGAGATGAGTAGCCATGGTGAGTTATTATAATCTGCTATTTTTTGCTAATAAATGTAGTGTGCCAGAACTAGAGGTGAAATAATTAATTACAGCAAAAGAGCAAATTTAGGAAGATTCAGAGAACAAGATAAAACACAATGTGAAGTAAAGCACACTTTTTTTATAAATAAGAATAAAAGAATTAGTAGAACAATTAAAAGTGGGGACTGTAGATATTGAATATTTAAACAAACAAGAAAATAAAAACTATGCCACATAAACATATCTTTGGTGCAACTAGTATATTAGCTGCTTATTGGGGCAGAAGAAAATAATATAAAGCCTAAAATATTGAGGGGCAGAAAACAGTTATAGTCAGAATTTCTGAACCTTGATGACTTTAAGATGGTGGACTTCAGCTCCCAGAATTCCTCAGCCAGCTGTAGTGGCTGGAGAACTCTGTGAGTTGAAGTCCATTCATCTTAAAATTGCCAGGCTTGAGAAATACTGCTCTCAGTCCTGTAAGAATGCCTAGAATAAGACGTGACTCATAAAACCTTAAATGTGCAAAAGCCAGAACAGCCATAAGTACATTCCAATGAGAATAGTCTATTTTCAGAGTAGAGTAGATTTTTTTACATGAAAAGAATTTAATTAAATATGCCCATTTACCCTAAGTGAACTAGAATAACTATCACCATCTCTTACAGGATATAAATGATGGAGTTTATCTGTACAAACTCAGCTATTGAGATCTCCCTCCAGTATGGTTATTATTCAGATGTTGCATTTTATCCCAGCAGAACTAATTAGGACTAATGGTGATTAGTTAGCCCTGCTTCTTGCATTTCAACCTGCTCCCATGGATAAAACTGTGAACATTTCAGAAAACTGCTGTTTTGCAACAGTTATCTCTATTTTAAAAAACAGGCAATAGAAACAAGCTGGCAAATTACAAGTCATCAGACTCTGAATACAATCAGCAAATTATTGTAAGGCATTTATGCTGGAAGTTCTGTAACAGGATAGAATGAGAGTACATTTTTACAAGATGAACAAACTGGTTTCAGTGATAGTAGATCACTGTTCAATTTCCCAACACTTAGAAGATATATACACATAGGGCATCTGTTCAATCTTATATGTAGCTTTTCTTCACTTGAAAGAGGCCCTGATATCAGTCTTCAAATCCTGTTTTGATTGCCTTTCAAAAAGTTAGATGTTGTCACCAGCCTGAATTCCAGAAGAAGGCTGGTCCATGAGTATGTAGCAAATACAGTGATGACTCTAATTATTATACCTATAATATATAAATGGAACAATTGAATCCTTTCTGGTAAACAAGCAAGCATTCTATGTACCCAGTATAGCCAAGTTAGTGACAAGAGAAGCAGTATCCACAGGAAGAAAAACATTTTTAAAAAAACTCTAAAAGGAAGATTCAAGAATATATTCCTGTCAATATGTAACATCCAAAGCAATGTCACTTCAAATATCTCCATTTTCTGGTGAATAGTTGGTATTTTATTTTGAAAGCAAAACACTTAAAATTTACTGTGAACCCAAAACAGTTTACACTTAAACCATACTACTTGGTGCCCTTCAGATATTTTTGATTCCAATTTCTGTCTATCTTGCTGGGAGGAAATAGCTGGACTACCATAAAAAAAGTTCCAATAGTAATGAACAGACAATGAGCATGCTGATTCAAATATATATAACACTGTATTCCTTAAGAAGGAGAGTCTTTTGTAAAAATATGCCAGGCAAAGATCTATCCCTACCATTGGGATACCACAGAAGTGAATTTTCTAAAATCCTATTCCAGGAGACAGAAGAGGTAATGTGCTTGATGTTACTTCTGGACATACAGTGTTGGAGAATTCAGACAAGAAATCAGAATCCAGTGCTTGTCATCATAAATTGACTACGTCCCTTCACCCATACTATTTTTTTAACAGAGAAAATGGAAGGTGCAACTAGAGAATACTCAATTATGCTGCAAGATGCTGAATGTTGTGTCACTTTAAATCCTGAGAATGTTTAAGACAAGGGATTAGCTTGGTTGTTTAAGAGTCCTGCTTTGTTATCATTTCAGCTCAGA